AATAATGTTAATTTACCGTAGCATCAGGCTAATATGTTATACAATAATGCTAATTTACCGTACCATCAGGCTAATATGTTGTACAATAATGTTAATTTACCGTACCATCAGGCTAATATGTTGTACAATAAGGCTAATATCACGTACCACCAGGTTAATATATTGTACAATAATGCTAATTTACCGTACCACCAAGCTTATATATTGTACAATAATGCTACTATCATGTACCATCAGGCTAATATGTTGTACAATAATGCTAATTTACCGTACCATCAGGCTAATATGTTGTACAATAAGGCTAATATCACGTACCACCAGGTTAACATTTTGTACAATAACGCTAATATCACGTATCATCAAGCTAATATAGTGTACAATAAGGCTAATATCACGTACCACCAGGTTAACATTTTGTACAATAACGCTAATATCACGTATCATCAAGCTAATATATTGTACAATAATGGCTAATTTACCGTACCACCAACTTATATATTGTACAATAATGCTAATTTACCGTACCACCAAGCTTATATATTGTACAATAATGCTAATTTCACGTACTATCAGGCTAATATATTGTACAAGAAGGCTAATATCCCGTACCACTAGGCTAACATTTTGTACAATAATGCTAATATCACGTACCAACAGGCAACCATGTTGTACCAGCAGGCATATTATGTATGAACAATAGGCAATAGCAGGTGTGATGTCATGAGGCTAATTAGATGTGTATCCGTAGGCGAATATTATCTGCCAGTAGGCTAATACGAAGTACCAACAGGCTAAACATGATGTACCAGCACGATTATATGATGCTCCATCAGGCTAATGTGATGTATCATCAGGCTAATATAATGTACCATAAGCTAATATCATGTACCATCTGGTTAATATGATCTACCGACATATGATGCAACAGCAGAATAATTTGATATGCAAAGAGGACAAAATGACGTACCAGCAGACTATTTATTCGTAATGTACTGTGCTCTAGCAAGATAAAATCAATGAAAGCTTAGAATGAACTCCCGTGTGCCAAAGGTATTGGAGGCATGAAAAACGAATAAGGAATACTGTATTCATTACTATATTAGAAGCACATCTTCATTACACATAAATCATTGTGTATATTGCTTGCAAACTCATTGAAATATGTATTATTTTGACCATATACTTGTCTTTTTTACAGTAAGTATATGTGCTTCCAATGGAGCAAATGGTTAGGGTGGTTCCAGGTAAATATAGATTAAAAATTATAAATATTTAATGAAATTATGACCATATATGATATTTTTGTGATATATCTTGTCAGATCACATAATTATAGCACCGGTTGCATGTCCCTATCTGCAACAGTAAACATAAGAAACACACATGAAACTAATAACAGGTAATTAATATGTATAGATTTCAACCCAGAAGTAATCAGGTCTGTGGATTATTTGAAAGCTATGTACCTAGTTTTATTTAAATTTTATCAGTGGTACTCAAGATCGATTTCTGTGGAGCACCTATAAATTGGTGGTTAGTAAATTAGTAATCACAAAATTTAACCCTAAACTGAACATATGGCTTTTCATTTGATCTGATGTAAATTAGGTCATTCATATAAACGGATTACAACCAATAACGAATCAGGGTTGCGCATTATCCATCTATGTACCATGTTTCATTAAAATCTTTTGAATAGTACTTGAGAAACAAGTGAAAAAAACTATGTAAACTAGGTCATTAAAATGTACAGGATTGCAACCAAATCTAATCAGTACTGCGCATTACCCCAGAACATCTATGTACCAAGTTTCTTTGAAATCTGTTTAATAGTATACATGTATGAGAAAAAATGAAAAACTTTAAAATTGTCTATTGATATGCTAATTAGGTAATTAATATGCATGGGATTCCAACCAAAACTAATCAATACTGTGTATTATCCCTGCACATCTATATGCCATGTTTCATTGCAATCTGTTTAATATTACACGAGAAACAAATGAAAATGCTTAAAATTGGCTAATTAATATGCAAATTCGACAAGTGATATGCACGGAATTCATCAGGTCTGTAGGAGTATCATCCCTGAACACCTATGTACCAAGTTTCATTAAAATCTGATAATTTGTTCTTGAGATATCAGTGGAACAGACACACACACACAGACGCACACACAGACAGACGCACTAACCGCAAAGACTCCAATTGTGTTCTTCGCACACGGGAGACAATGAAGATGTACAATCAAGCTAATTTGATATGCAAAGCAGGATGGTAAGAAGTAAAATTAGGCTAATATGATGTAGTATATCACTAGTATGGTGTACCATACAGCAATTATGGTGTAACCCCAAAGTCATATGATGATGAACCGGGCTAATGCGACTGTGTAGGTTGTGGACTGCCACGTATCAGACGCGTATATCGCACCTGAACGTGTCTCCTAAACGATCCACGAAATACATGTGATAGTTGCGATCCAGTCGTAGTAAGTCGCCAGTGTTGAAGTATCGATCCCCAGCATGGAACACGTCACGTAAAATTCGTTTTTGTGTACGGATCGGATCGTTCTGATATCCCGCGTATTCGCCAATGATGGGCATTACTAGTAAACCAGGCTGACCTGTGGACACCCAAAAGAAAAAGTTTCGTTATTTTTATGTTTTATTTAAATTTAAATTACAGGGCGGTAGTCGTCGCGCCACGCATGCGCGAGATATATGGGTCTCATATAAACAAAGATGGCGATACAGCAATGATATGATTTTAAGAGCGACAGTCGTCACATGTGCGACATTTGTGTTGATAAACATTGATTTTCCCATAATCCATTGCGCCCTTCTAATGGAAATCAGTATGAAGTATGACCTGGGCGCGACTAATTTCCGCCGATAAATAAATAAATAAATAAATAAATAAATAAATAAATAAATAAATAAATAAATAAATAAATAAATAAATAAATAAATAAATAAATAAATAAATAAATAAATAAATAAATAAATAAATAAATAAATAAATAAATAAATAAATAAATAAATAAATAAATAAATAAATAAATAAATAAATAAATAAATAAATAAATAAATAAATAAATAAATAAATAAATAAATAAATAAATAAATAAATAAATAAATAAATAAATAAATAAATAAATAAATAAATAAATAAATAATAAATAA